AGAAAAAGCGCTGGTTGGAAAGATCGTATCGTCAGAGATTTGGGTTTCCAGGGCCGTCTGCGGTCCGATTCGATGCGATTCGATTCGCCAGCCGGGGCCGCGATTCTGATTCGATTCGTGTCGGTTCGATTCGATCCACCAGCATCCGTTGAAGCAGGGCGCGGCGATCCAATTTCGATTCGAGTTGGGACGATTCGCTGGAGATCCGATGCTTTTCCAATCCGATCCGATTTCGCGATTCGATCCAGCCCAATCTCGACTCCATTGAACTTGTATCGGACATACACCCAATACGATGCGAGAGAACTAGGGCGGGAATTTCCGCTTCAGGAAAGTAGGGCGACCATTTTCGCAAAGGGATGGCGAATACAGCGACGGCAGAATAGGGAGGATATCGTCATCGAATGAGCTTGAACACTGGGGCGGGAATTTCTGCCCTACTTGCGAAATCGCGCAAACCACGGCGGATCCAAAGTCAGGGTGGGCCTCCCAGGGAGCCGCTAGGAGGAGGAGGCGGAGGAGGAGGAGGAGGAGGAGGAGCAGGAGCAGGAGCAGGAGGAGGAGCGGCAGGAGGAGGGAGGCGGGAGGAAGGCTCGCGCATCAAAACGAGAACCCAACCAGTGCAGGGTGAGGAGAGAGAGAAGAGGAAAAGAAAAAAAGGAGGTGGTGGTGGATGAGGAGGAGGGGGAGGAGGAATAGGATAAACATGACAATGGGAATGATGGAGAAGGAGGAGGAGAAGAAGGAGGAGGACGAGAGGGGAGGAGAAGGGGAGGAGGAGGAGGAGGAGGAGGAGGAGGAGGAGGAGGAGGAGGAGGAGGAGGAGGAGCGGCAGGAGGAGGAGGGAGGCGGGAGCAAGGCTCGCGCATCAAAACGGGAACGCAGAGATCCGACGTCGTGATTTTTTCAATACGGGGTCCCCAGAAGTCTCGACCCATTCCCCCGGGACCCGTTTCTCATCCTGCGTCGTTTTTTGACGGTCCCGGGGCCCGGCGAGGGCCCCTCGAGGCCGAAAAATAAGAAAAACCTCCGTCCTGATTTTTTCAATGCGTTGGATCTCTGGGAACCCAACCAATGCAGGGTGGGGAAAAGCCACATCGCCGGCGATGGGGCCTCTCCACCGAGCCGCGCCGCCGACGCCCTCCTCCGTGTCGGCGCGCCGGCGCTCGGCGGCTCCGCCGCGTCCCTTGCCCGCCGCCGCGGCCGCCGCCTTTTGGCTCGGAGGCACCGCCAGCCCTAGGTCGGGCCTGTGCCCCTACAGGGGGATTTTCTTGTACGAAAAATAAGAAATAACCCCAAAATAATCAAAAAGTAACCCAAAAATAGTCCAAAAGTAGTCCGGGGCAGTATTTTTGAATACTTTTTGGACCTTTTGGGAGCATTTTTGGAGTATATGTTTTATTTATCGTCGAAAATCTCCCTGTAGGGGGACACGCCCTGTAGAGGCCTGGACCCTCTCCCCGGGACCGGTTTCTCGTCCCGAGTCGTTTTCTGACGGCCCCGAGGCCCGGCGAGGCCCTCCCGAGGGCGAACACAGCGAAAAACCTTCCGCCCCAGGACCGGTTTTTCATCCCGAGTCGCTCTTCGCCGGCCCCGAGGCCCGGCGAGGACCTCCAGAGGGCGAAGGGAGCGAAAAGCCTTCCCGAGGGCGAGGCCCTCCCGAGGGCGAAAAACCTTCCGTCGACGACGCCGTCGTGGTCCGGGGCCGCAGGCGCCACGCCGCCGCCGGCCGCCCGCCTGCGCCGCCGCTGCCGCCCGCTGCGCAGGTGGGCCGCCGGCGCGCCGGGCCTCCCGCAGCGGGCCGACGGGGGCGGCGGCGGCGGGGCCAGCAGCAGCACGCGGCCCCCCCGCGCCCCTCGGGGGGCCGGCGCCGCGCGCCCCTCGGCGCCCCCGCCCGCGTGCGCGGAGGGAGGAGGAGCACGGGGAAGGGTAAGTCGGGCCTGTCCCCCTACAGAGGGATTTTGGGCGAAACAAATAAAAAAGACCCCCAAAATGTTCCAAAAAGGGCAAAAGATACTCAAAAAAAGGGCAAAAGATACGTAAAACGACGCGAAGATCGGGACAAAATCGGATCGGGACAATTCGAAATCTCTGAGAATCGGCGGGTTTGGAGGACGTATTGGGCGCCGCGGCCGCTCCAGAGCGTTCTGGAACGCTCTGAGAGCGCTCCGGAACGTTCTGGAGCGATTTATCCCGATCCTAGCCCTGTTTTAGCACGGGGAAGGGCGGAGGGGCGACATGGGTAAGCAGGATAAGATTACGTCGGGCGTGTCCCCCTACAGGAGGGATTGTCGACGACAAATAAAAAATGCTTTAAAAATACCCCGAAAAGGTAAAAAAATACCCCAAGGGTAGTCCCCAGACCATTTTCGGATTATTGTTGAATTGTCCTTGGGGTATTTTTTTATTTTTCGTCGAAAATCCCCCTGTAGGGGGACAGGCCCGACTTAAGGATAGGAAGGGGGGTGCCTGAGTAAAGCCCGCACCAGGACACCGAAAGGCCGCGGCCCCGACTTGCCTGCGCTCGTGCAGCGCTTGCACCGCGAAGAGGGGCCGTGCTGGCTGCCGCGTGTCCTCGATGCCGACCCAGACCCCCGACGTCATGATTTTTTCATGACGTCGACCCCCCGAGGTCTCGACCCATTCCCCGGGACCGGTTTTTCGTCCTGAGTCGTTTTTTGACGGTCCCGAGGGCCGGTAAGGGCTCCCAGAGGCCAAAAATAATGAAAAACCTGCCGTCGTGATTTTTTCATAACTCGAGGGGGTCTGGGGACGGCATGGGGGCCCGCGGCGCCCCCCGGGCGCGGCCTGGCGGAGGTCGCCGCAGGGTCCGTCCCCGCAGCGCTCCGGTGGGGCGCCCACGGCGCCCGCGCGAGCGAGGGGGGGGCAGCCCCTGAGAGCTCGGGGAGCGGAGGCTGCCCGTGGCTGAGCGCACGGCCCGCGCAGGGTCAGGAACCAGGGCGGGGGTCGTCGAGGCGGATCCTGCGCGAGTGTGCGGCGGGGCAGCGACGAAGTGGGAGTGATGGGGCTTCGCCAGGCAACGCGTTTGGGGGGGGGGACACACCCGCGGTTCCTGGTCGTGGAAGTTTTTTCGCCTCCGGCGTGCTCTCCTGACAGCGAGGAGTCAGAGCCCCGAATCATCAGGGGTAACTCGGGTCAGGGCTAACTCGGGTTCGTTTTTCGGGAATCCGAACCCGAGTTACCCCGGACCCGACTTACCCTGGATAGTTCGGGCGTCTAGAGCCCCGAATCATCAGGGGTAACTCGGGTCAGGGCCAACTCGGGTTCCTTTTTCGGGAACCCGAACCCGAGTTACCCCGGACCCGACTTACCCCGGATAACTCGGGCGTCCAAAGAAGGCAGTTACTCGTCAGGACTCGCAGATGAGTTTGCCGTAGCCTTGTCTGTCGCTCGGCTTGCGGCCCAGAGCACCCCAGGTGGTCCAGGGCCTTCGCACGGCAGGGCTCCCCGTCCAGAGTGAGGGCAGGACGCCTGCAGACTAGAGGGTAGAAGCCGTGCAAAACTCCAGCGCTGAGGAGCCAGACTTTCTGGGTGCTGCCTCACTCCGGATGGCGGTGGTGAAGGTGGTCGGCGACTGCTCCGCATCTGTCAGGAGGGAAGCACACACACACACACACACACACACGCACGCACACACACACACACACACACACACACACACACACACACACACACACACACACACACACACACACACACACACACACACACACACACACACACACACACACACACACACACACACACACACACACACACACACACACACCCACACACGCACGCACGCACGCACGCACGCACGCACGCACGCACGCACGCACGCACGCACGCACGCACGCACGCACGCACGCACGCACGCACGCACGCACGCACGCACGCACGCACGCACACACCCACGCACGCACGCACGCACGCACGCACGCACGCACGCACGCACGCACGCACGCACGCACGCACGCACGCA